GGAGGGGGGGAGGGGGGTGACAGAGAAGGGAGACAATTCAGTGAAAGGTGAGAGAATATACAGCTCTATGGTAAGTTATACAATAAACAACATCAACACATGCATTTTCAGAAGTTAATTTTACTACTCATAAAACTCCTATAAGACATCTTTACTTATATATTGATATTTGTTACTCTTACACCAAGACTAATCAGCACTCTTCTTTCACCTACACACACTTACAGGTCCCTAATCTGTTAACGTTATTTGCGTAAATTTTACTTTACAATATGTCGTGATTTAATTGCAAGTCGGAGGAAATTACAATGTTTCATTGGTGGTAAACAAATGTCTGTTCATACACCACCTTAAGGAAATATGAATAAAATAAATGTAACAAATCACATATACCTGGTGAATATTGTAGGGACCTGCTGAGAATTTGTGTCGGCTATATTTGGACCTAAACTAAGGTGTTCAGAGTAATTTTACACGTATCATCATTAGGGGGTGGCATTTTTACCAATAGTCTATCTAAAGCCCCTAAATGTGTAAAATTACTCTGAACACCTTAGTTTAAGTACATATATAGGTGTAACAAATTCTCAGGTCCCTATGTTGAATACTACTGCATGTAGTAACACAGCAAGATTTGAGGCAATGCGTACTTTGTAAAAAGTTTTATAACTCATGTGACTGACAGTACAAAATGTCGTACAATGTATTACCCAGAGTTTTTGTTCCTGCGACTCATTGGTCATCGGTCACTATCAACTGATCAACTGATCAAATAATCAAAATTTAAACAAGAATCGGTTTCAAACTCCACATTTTTTTTACGTTTCATACATGTCATAAATTGATGTTAATGTCGTTTTTGTAAATTTAAATCAACATTTTACATTTAAACTGCTACACTGTAATCATAAATTTTCATCAGAGTCCAAAATGAATATTTTGAAATTCTGGAGTAACATGTAACACTGTTTTCATTTACAGGAACTTGAACAGTACATACACTTACAAACAAGATGGATTATATACAAAAAAAATATCTTTTCAACATTGAGACAATATATGTACTATAAGGTGCTGATTAGCTTAATTATCATCATCAGACTTTCTCAAAATAATACATATGTACCTGTAATGAGATTATACAAATATTAGATTTAAGTATTACCTCAGTCACCTGTCCTTACCTGACATTCTTTGGGTAAAAACGTCATGTACACCAAACGTAATTTATCATCATAGCATTCAATAACAAGCACATATTTAAAGCTGTTGATATTTCAAAAAATGATCTCATTTTAGTGGTGTTTCTTCTTTCAATCAGTGATTCTCAATTGCCAGATTATAAGTTTCCAGCAAGTACAGTATTAAATTAAATCAAAAGACTTGCATTTTTAAATGGGATCAATGCAAAATAATTTCCAATTTCTTTTTCATAATGTCACTTTGGATTGGCGGAATTTTTTCAAAAACTGCGATACTGATTTGGTCTCTTCCAAATATTCTTACAAAACTCCTTATGAAGTTTGAAGTTTTGTCAATTGTCAATTATTCATACATACAATGATGAAAGCTGAGAAAAGTTTTTTTCTTTATTTTTCTTTAAAATGATGATCAAATGCTTGGAGTGCTAAAATTTGAAAGCACTTTAGTAAAAGCATTTTTACAATGGGAACGTACTGTTGGTTTGTCACTAGAGTAACGTTGCAAACACAAATCAATTCTACTAATATATAATAAGCCTTGTACCACACTAGTCTACACAATACAAACTAATTCATAGCTTCTAAATGAAAAACTGGTAACATTTCCAATGAACACCTACTCAATGAAGATTCTACCCTCTCTTTAATCTAAAATTTAATACTTAACCTATTGCCAGTATGTATGTACCAGTTTAGTTGTTATTTTAAAGCAGAACAGCATGACCGTTAAAGATCCCCGTACCACTGCCAAAAAATGAAACTGTATATGCATTCAAAACTTATCCAGCATGACTATAGCCTTGACAATTCGTTTTTGAAAAGAAAAGAATACCTTATGGCACTTTTATGAAAANAGGAAAAAAAAAAAAAAAAAAAAAAAAAAAAAATTGAGTGTAAAATATTCTGCAAGGCCAGACCAGGATTCGAACCCTGGACTTCAGATTGTTATATCATCGCTGGTTCAGATACCTGGAAAACGGAAGTGTACCAGCCTACTTGTGCTACAGCTACGTATACATGTATATCCAAATGGAAGTTAAGAGGAGGTTTCTGTATAAAACAAAAATGGCAGTACATACAGTGGGACAGGGATCCTTAAGGAAGTTAAGAGGAGGTTACTGTACATGTATATAACAAACATTGCAGTGCAGTGGGACAGGGATCCTTAAGACAAGATATGTCCAACATTATATTTGATTTACTATAAACATCCTTTCAATCGAATTATTTAATAATATGTAATAGAAGACGCAGTTCAGACATAGAAATATTTCTAATCTAATTCATATCTTTTATATAGAGTATCATTTTAAATTTTGATATCTGACTAAATTATTATCCTTAAATTGATATATATATAAAGAGATGTTAATACTAGCAAGTACAAAGCAAGCCCACACCTGTACACCAAATCTGACTAGAAGCTAAATTAAGTCATAAATACATGTACATAAGTCATGAATGTGGGCACATTTTATCATCTTTGTGGGGGGGGGGGGGGTATTGTTTTAGCTTCGTAAATGTTAAGGAAAATAAAAATAAAATGACTATGCTGTCATCACTTCAATAGAAAGCTCGTTGAAGCTAGCCTTATCAGGGCGGTTTTCATTGATCCCATTCCGAATGGTTTGACCAGTTGGACCAAAGTTGTTCATTTGATGTTGTTTTCTGGCAAGCCTTGGGAAAGACTTCCAAAGCCTGCATTAACATTTGCAGGTCCAACAGGTTTAATCCCAGAAATAGTATGTTTACAGGTTGGTCTGCATAAACGAACAGGATGGAAGTTTGTGTAGCTCTGTAAAATTGGTACACTTACCTACTGCTTGGTTCAGGATTGACTAGTGAAGGTAAAAATAGTTTATCCACTACAGTGAAGTTATAATTTTTAATATACTAACACTTTTCCATATTTCACTGGTAAATAGTTATTAAAGTAGCATTTATAAGTTATAAACATAAATAAATCTTTCATGTAAAACGATTATTTTGATGACTAAAATTTTAAGGGACTTTAAAACTTCTCATTCAAATATTCAATAAAATATTAAAAAACATAAAATTGGAAATGGAATTTGTTGAAGACATCACAATTACATTATTTATGAATATAATATCTGTATTTATGTTTTCAGCAAAACAAACATGAAAGACACATATGATTAGGGAACTAACATTCCGTAACAAGTGAAATGTTTCGCACAGTATAAAACACATCTATACATAGCAGTAGAATGGGAACGCGTCGTACATTTGCAGGTACACCCAACAATTGACATTAAGATTCAATAACAGGAAGGCAGATAGATAATGAAAAAGGTTGATTATGTAATTAAGTTAATTGCACTTTGATTCAGAGTATCACAAAAAACAAGACACATGTACATGTAGATGAAACACTTAATGTAGAAATATCACAGGAAGGATAAAGGAATTATAGGATATAGTAAAGATTGATCACATGATATTTTGAGCTCTTAAAATGGGTTTATAACATATGTCAGGTAAAAATAGGTTTATAATATGTCAGGTAAAAATATAACTATATATAATTAATAAAGGTTGAAATTAATCAATAGAAAAATAATTTCTCCTAAACAAATTCTGTTGATCTACTTTTCCATGATATACAATATTTAATGCATAAGAGATAATTAAATAAATTATAGCTCTAATTAATTTACCCTGATTTGATGTTTAACATAAAAAAGGCTTATAACAAACCACAAGGGACAAAAGAAATTCATTAACGCTAGACAAAATTTTGCTTAATATTAAAATTAACATGTCATCTCCTGGTTACGAATATAAACTCATAAAATACATGTATGAGTTTGTTGTAGGCCAAAATTTGCTATAAGCATCAAAGTTTGTAATATATCCATTTTGCTGTTTACATATATACATTTTTCACTTCCTGTCTGTTATTCCTCTTTGTAAAAGAGTTCTTTGTTTTTGGCCTCTAGTTCTCTCTCATACAATCCGTCATCTTCGTCCTTTGCCAGCCATTTCTTACAAACAAACTGACACGTTTCGTACAGTGGTACCTTAAATACCAATTCCTTTTCTTTAGGTTTTCCCCTCCCCTTTTTGCTTTTCTTTCCTTTTCGATCTTTCCTTCTGTGATCAGTATCATCATCGGATGATTCCTCCTCACTGGATGACTCAGATGAATCGGAACTGGACGAGTCGGAACGTTTCTTATTTTTCCTTTGTGTATCCCTGGAAGAACTTTTACTCTGAGTCGAGCCTCTTCTTAAAGAGCGTCTGTTTTCCGGTAACTGATCTTCTTCTTCTGAACCTCTCCTGAGAGCACTGCCGGGACGGTTTGAAGAAGAGCTCTTCCTTTTTGAACCTCCGCCTTGTGTGACAAGATCTTCTTCAACAGAATCTCTCCTGAGAGCACTGCTGGGACGGTTTCCCATGCTTTTCATCCCATCTTCTAAGGAATCCATTTCATTTTGTTTCTTTTTCGACTGTCTTTTCTTCATTTCCAGTTTGACCTTCTTCAGATATTTTTGCTGCTCTGCTCGGTGTATTTGACGAGTTATCTTGATCTAAAAATTTCAAAAAGAAATCAACATCATATGCACTTAAATCGTTGACAATGACAGGTCTTTTGTTAGATTTTCAACTAAAGTTTAAAAATTGTGACCATTTTGTCTTTTTTGGTTACATTGATGAAAGGAGTGGTAAAAGTAAGGTACGAGATGGTTTTAACCCTTAAGATATCCAAACTATCTTAATTAAATGTCAAGCAAACAATTTCTAAATTCATTAATGAAGACATGTGAGTAAAAGGCGAAAAAGTTCAATTAGCATGAAAGAATTCTGGATTCACATATATAGGAGCTAGAAAAATAATTATAACGCCAGGGTTTTGGCTTTTTTTGAAGAAATTTTAGAAATTCCTCCTGCATTAATTTGATTCATAACTTACAAAGTCTAAGAACCATCCAGCCCCCACTCCAGTGTTGTCATGGCCGACCAAAATCTTAGTCATGCTTCCTACATCCACAGCCTCCACCTGCGACAGAAAATAAATGTTTTATCAGAACCAAGGGACATAACTCCATTAATCATAATTGGATAACCTTATTCAAATGTTTATGGTAATTTACTTTTTCATGAAATCTGAAAGTACGTACTGTAATCACCTAAACAAAAATATATAATTACATTTGCTCTGCATCCTTCCAATGCAATGCATTGAGAAGGCAAATGTTGCTGTGAGACTGAGGGCTACATTAGCACATCCCGGTTGAAACGGTATGTGGCGCAGAAACATTCCGCAATAAACGAACACACTTGGACCGTTCTATAAGCAGAGCTAAAATTGCACAGTTTCGGAGAATAAAAAACAATGTATCAAGAATATTATGCCCTTCTTTTACGCGTCAACTGAATTACATAACGTATCTTAAAACTACATTTGTCTTGACATTGTTTATGAAAGAAATAACGCAAACTAGCAATAGTCAGCATTTTAGTTTTGGTCAGGTACGTCTGGACCCCTCAATCTGCATGTGCCAAATTTTCCTGAGGTCAGTCTCGGTCCAGATCTGTGCCTGCATGTCATTTTCTTAACAGGTTCAACCGTTTCAACCGGATACGCAAATGTACCCTATAACACTTTTACAGTGGCATATCCTGAGGGGTTTTGGGGGCTTCAGGACACACACACACCCC